CCCCCMRSCCCCCCCTGCTCCGCGGTCCATGAAGAAAGAAAGAAAGAAGTCACTATTTTGTACTCAAATAGATGATAGCATTCAAGCGAATCAACTTATAGTTCAATACTCAAGAGACATTAAACACACGAGAATCAAATCTATTTATTTTTGCGCGGCTGCAAAATCAAGACACAAGACATGTCTAAAGATAAAATAACCACACAATACTCGAGGAAACACGTTTAAGAGTCTTCATTTTCAAGGGATGCAGCAAAATCGAAATAGAAGACAGTTGTTATAGGTTAAAGTTGAAATAACCAATATGAACGTGTTTTCTGTTAAACGAGTTTATTATAAAAGTAAGCAAAAATATCAAGACAAATAGAGGATATTACATGGGCGCGCGGAGATACGGATTTTATCTTCGAGTGTTGAAAAGATCTCTCACGAGTGAGCGTAGCGAATAGTGATGTTTCGTATCTCCAAGCGACCATGTAATATTCTGTTTATCATATAATTACATATGAAAGCAAATTATGTTGTAAAAATACCTTTTTTCTTTCTTCCAGTATATAGAGAAACCTCGAATGTGTTATTTTCACTAGTGAAAATAACATTTTTTCACTAGTGAAAATAACATGTTATTTTCACTAGTGAAAATATCAATTTTACGTAATGGAGAAATATAGGTATTTCATAGATAATTATATGATAAGATGCACTTTTCAATGTGATGGCTCGAAATTCTATCGATCAAAGATACATTATATGGCTAATTAATAATATAAAAACGGAGACGTACTTGACAAAAAACAACAGCGCCCTTTTTTACACAAATGTATCCTTTTGTTGAAGCTCTACAGGCTCTAAATAAACTGCAAGACGAGTTTATCGCTTGAAAGGAAAAGTTTGTGAGATACGTACCTTTTTAGCTTGAGACTGGCCACAAACACACTTTTTCCAGCTGCAGTTGTAACGGTTATAAGTGTAGCTGGCTAGTTGAGCTACGAGGACGACGTGTTCATTCATAAATGCTCGTGCACTTGCACGGCTCCATGAAATAACTTTCAAATTCTTGTGTATTTAATGTCTCCTGAGTATTGAACTATAAGTTTATTCGCTTGAGATCATAGCAGTGGCGGATCCATGTGTTCCTAGGAACCCCCCTCGAGCATTGAAAAAAAATAAAAATAAATGATAAATGAAATAAAATGAAAACGCATCGTACAATGAATTTTTATTCAATACTTTCACACTACATTTGCTACAGTTCGAGAGGCACAGTAAAAAAGTTCGTTTTAGGAAAATGCGAAAACAAAGAGGAACCCCCCTTTGAAAAATCCTGGATCCGGCACTGCATAGTTTTGTGAGTGATAATTAGTAATTTTAAATTACTTATTATTTGACTTACGGAGACTTGGGATCGAGTGTTTTTCAGCTCAAAAGAGAAACGTTTCATGAGTGCATTAATGATTCAAAATAATTGCAAGTCTCTCAGGTTATAATAATTAATGATAGATTGAAAATACTAAAAGTGTGCAACAAAAATACCAATAATTAGCTAAAAAGAGAAAAGTTTTGCAGGGGCGGTTCCGGGATTTTTCAGAGTGGGGTGGCTAACATTAAAATTTAATATTAAAAGACGTTACAATTAATTTGACTCTTAGCCTCATGTGAAATTATCGTTTATCGTTATCTCGGGCACATAAATAATATTTCGGACATCAACAAATTTTTATGAAAGATATTTATGAATATATA